TTTTATTTCTTGAAAGTTAAATTACATCTGCAACAGAGGAGCTATTTAAGAGCTTTCGACTATTTTAAATTGCCTGGTTTGTTAACTAATTGGTCATAGACATTATCGATTTGGCTAAAGTCATAGATTGATTACCCATGTTATTAATTCTTTAAAATAATATTTGAGGGCTTTTAAAATACTACTTTATTACAATAAAAGGAAATGGCTTGGAGAAAGATTAGATAGTATTTGGTTACCATTTATTCCTTCGTTCACTGCATCTGTTTTGAGTGAATATCTTCTGTGAGCCAGGCACTATGCGAGGCACGCGGTACGAACAATGTGGAATAAACATTCCTCGTTTCCTTGTGGGTCTCGTAACAGAATGTGTGCATTGAGGTAGGGTTGGAAGATGTGCAGAAAACAAGATGAGATCTCTTTTCTACAACAGGAAACTCAATTGGTGAACTCATTTGGGAGATACGTTTGTGCATTAAAAACTACCAGAATGCATTATGCACTTACCTCTTGAAGGTTGTATGAATTTATGCTGTGGTTTTTAATCATGGTATCCTACTGCTCAGTGTGGGAGGAAGGGCTGGCCTCACAGCCCTGCATGAGGCTAGGTAATTCCCATAGAGGCCCATGTATGTGTATAGAATGGACTCAGGTGAACAATATCTGGCAGGTATAGGTTGCCTGCCCAATCTGAAATAGACTGTAAATACTCTTACAATTTAAATGAGAGAAAACAATTGTGGGCCCTGGAGTGGTCAGGGAAAGGTTTGTGAAGTCCATAGGGATTGAATTGCGCCTTTATAGCATTTCACTAGGTGGAATTCGTTTGTCTCATTTTTTTCTTGTGCCAAGTACATTTCTAAGTGTGGAGAACAGAGTAGTAAGAAAGGCAGACAAGACCCTGCTCTCAAAGAGCTTCCAGTTCAGGGCTGGAGGAGGGAAACAGATAATAAAGACGTTAATAGGATTATTCCACTCAGTGTTAAATGCAATGAAGGCAACTAAAAAACAAAACAAAGCAAAACAAAACAGAGAGAGAATGATGGGGGTGCTGCTGCTGCTGGTGAGACATTATTCTGGGTTGTTGGAAAATCATCTCTGAGGAAGTGGCACTTGAATGAAACCTGAATGTTAGGAAGGAGCTGACCATGCATCCGTCTGTAGAAAGGGACAGTGGACAAAGCCGTAAAAGGTGCACCCTATGGGGTTTATTCATCACAGAGCTGCATCCTGCAAGGGCATGGGTAGATCGCGGGCTGAAAGCTGTGGTTTAGTGCCAAGTTCTAGAGGGTCTTGGGTGTCAAGAATAAGGACTCTGTTTCTTTGCATGTATCAAGGGATGAGAAGTTAGAGAAGAAAAATCTGAATGAGTGTAACCATGGAAGTTTAAGGAGCCGTGTGTGGTTGGGATGTAGATGTTTAGTTCACGTGACCTATGATGAGGGACACCCAAATAACATAATGTCCAAATCACTTCCTGTTGGAAGTTGAGTGTAGTCTAAAGCGAGGTATACATGGTGCTTTGTGGACTAATCCAAATCGGTGGGCAGAGAACTGTCCTATAAATGAGATCATGGAGACCTTGACAAAGGTAAGCTATGACCCAGTGTACTTGTACTAAGGTAATGTTTTCTAAGTCAGATAGGATGTAACAGTTTCCTTTTGTGGTAATTCCCCTTGGAACATAAGACTAATAGTATTTTTATTAATGTAAAAGAACAATATTTATGCTGTGAGTTTTTTTTTTTAAATGAAAGGAAAGAGGAAAGTTAGAGGTAAGGTTTGATCCAGTCCGGGTTGATTGATAAAAAGAGATGTGTATAAAGGCTCACTTTTGGAATAACTGTATGTAATTTGCTAAAGGAGAAATTTCCCCAAGTGTTGATATAATTCTCTAGAGGAATGTGTCTGGGCCGTGAAGGGATTCCTGGCCATGACTGAGAAACACGGCCATGGGGAACTGTACTTGCTCTCTTTTCAGGTTGATTCTGTTGTGTGTAGTCTTTACATCCTATTAAATTTTTGAAAGATAAACTGATACAAGAATGATTTACCAAGGCCCACAACTCTTCCTTTTAAAACCGTAGCCCAGTGTACACATCGAAGGGATGGGGGAGTAAGATAAAAGCATTATAAATAGGAGGTTAACTGAATTCAAATAGAAGGCTCTCTCAAGTTATTGCATTCCTTAGAAAATAAATACATTGTGCATATGGTTAAGATTGATCAAAAAAGCGTTCTGTATGCCAGTGATTACATTCCCATCTGTGATTAAGGTTTTCTGTTTGCATCTGGTTTTCACATTATATTTCTGTAACAAGAATCTTTTATATAGCAGAGTTCACTTTCTGTATTTTCTATTAGCTGCAGCTTGAACTACTGCACGGATCGCAGATTTACACATGTGGTTTTCATTACTTCATACCATTGAGAAAAAGTAATATTTGTTTGGGAATGTATGTTTTCCACAATTTCCATGGTAATATAACATGTTGAGCCTTTTTAATAATGCTCTTGTAGAACTACAAATTGTTTGAGGCATTCTACTCTTGGTGTAGTTTAGATTTTAAACTTGCCTCAGTATGTTCCCTTCATAATGAGGTTTTACAAATTTGAGGTCTGAGAATCCAAACGAAGCAATTACTAAAGGTGGAGAAATTTGCTATCATTTGAATGCAACACAGACTTTAGTGTAGAATAAGTATCACATATCTGGATGTGTATTTCACAGAGCTCATTATCATTTCTCATTTTATTATTTCATATTGGAAGATAATTTCATATGTTGTCTGTATGAAGCATGTACATAATACTCCAAAGTTATATTTGGAAAAATCTAAACATTAGCATGTTCTCTTTCTCTCTTTTGAGTTATCCTATTGATTGTGATATAATGTGTTCTCTATATAAAATATTTAAGTGGGGAAAATTCTCCTGAGTAACTTTAGGTATACTTTGTGTATTTTTTGAATGTATATTTGTATGCCATGTTAACATTTAAGAATTTATGAACACTTACACTTAAAATGTTTTGTAGCACTATCTTCCCGCCAACTTTTTCTCCATTCACTTCAGAATACTCTGATTAAAATAGACATAAGTAAAGTTAAAAAGTGAGGCAGTATATTCTACCTTGGAGTATCATTTATAATGAGACAATTACCTTTTAAAGGATGTTTATCTGTATAGTAATTTTACACGCCTCATCACTAAGATCCACTGTACCATTTTTATGAATAAGCCCAGATGTTAGTCTGGTGTCGAACAGTCATGAGAAGGAAGAACTGAACTGAGACCCGAGGGTGGGACCGTGCTCTGCACCCTTCCTTTGCTCAGTGGCGATGATGAACTGTGGCCCACGCAGGGCCATGAGCCCCTCGGATCGGGCCGTCCGGTATCTTTTTTGTTGATGGTTCCTAGAGCACAAAATATTATCAAATATCATGATTGCAGCTAAGAAGAGCATCCATTTTCCTTTTTCCCCCAATAACATCTGTTTATCTTCTATGACATATTTTTATCTTGGAATAGAAATATTGGAAATAATAGGATTGTGCAGAAAATTACTCATTTTCATTTGCAGACATAATTATATTTAATATCTAGATGTATTTACTTCCGGTCTCCCCTCCTTGCACTCTCCACCCCCACCCTTAGTATGTGAATATTACACATGCATATGTATATTTATGTATCTTGTTCATTTTCTTACTGAAATTTCGGATTCACAGTAAACTAAACGTTTCCCAGTTCCAGCTGATTTTCTTTAATGATCTTTGCTGAGCTTCTAGACAATTTCCAATTAAGAAATACCTAGTACAGCATTGTATTTTTGCTAAACATTGCTTCTTTGATTTTTGCCATGAAGAATGATAAACGACTGACTTCCAGTCAAGATGGTGGAAGTCCAGACCTGACGCAGAGCTCCTGGCTTCCCTCCAGTAATAATACCATCTCATTTTATTGCATCAATAAATCATATTAATATGTACAAACACATTTTAGGATTTTTACTCACAAAAAAAATGAGAAACAACTGATTGCAGAGTCATAATGTGGCATAGAAAGGGTAGTGATTTTTTTTAAAAAATAGAAAATATATATATATAATTAGAGTATATTCACTGATTTTAATTTCCAGAGAGTAGTTTGGCCTCTTAAAAAATAATAGCAATAGCCTTAGTAATGCTTTTTCAGTCTTTTATAAATCTTAATTTTTCTGCATTTATTGAGTTCCTACCTTGTGTGCATGTGATTGTGCTAGAGTTCTATTTCATAGAATATACGAACTAAATAGTGATGCTTTTGCTATTCATAGTAGTGCTAGTAATAGCGATAGGTGAGTAATAGGCACTCAATAAATTTTTGAGAATGAATGAGTGAATTCTAAATCTTTCAAATCTAGCAGGAAAATGAGAGTATTAGAATTGCTCTAGGCAAAAAGGAAAGTGGTAGAAGGTTGTTCATTTGGTAAAATGATTCTCTAGTAATTGTTGTTACTAATATTTTTAAACTAGTTGGTTACCTAAAGATTATTCATTACTATTATTAGTAGTTTTAGACTGTCTTAGCTAATAATAGCAATGTTTAAATTTTACAACAGTGAAACCATGTGGATACCACTGTGTTTTAAACAGGATTTAATTTGTATGTGAAAATTCCACAATATAGAAAACAACAGGTCTCAGCATTTTCTAAAGAAACCATAATATCTGCAAGATTATTTTAATTTTTTTTATCAAGCAGGTAAAATCTAACATTCTTCTAAGATACTGATATACATGTGATTAATATCAATTTAAGGAAAGAGGATCTGTTAGGTTCAGAATGTATCCAGTTTTGAGTCAGGTCATTGGAGAATTAAGAGTCCTTTAGAGCAAGTCATAAGAACTGAGAAAATGGGGATTGTTTTGGAATTTTCTAAAACTTCGAAGAGCTTGTATTTGTTTCTTAAAACAGACTGGGCTAGTATTATCTTGTAAGTAGATGGGTGCTACTTCAGACTGGTTGTGATATATGCGTTTTTTTTTTTTCCCCTTTGTTGTTGTCAATAGAAAAGATTGATCTCTGGGCTGGTGAACATAATATCTGTCCCAGTCAGAAAAGGAGAGAGGAGATTAGCAGAGCGATTGGTGGAGAATGATATCTGTCAAAAGAAACACTTGGAGAGCACTGAGTTTAGTAATAGGTGACTGCCGGAAAAAAGGGAACTTTGAATATTGTCAAGGTAAGGAACAGATAAATATTTTGATTTTGCAATTTACTTATGTGTCAAAAAAAATCAATCTATTTTTTCCCTGATAAATTATAATTGTGAAGGTCTCTTTTTTTTTTTTCTTTTTCTTATTTTTTCCTAGTCCCCGTTGATAAAGAGTTTGTATTCTATATTTAAAAAAATTGTTTTTGACACAGTGTGGTGATTGCCAGGTGGGAGGTGCTGGGGTGAGTGGAGGAGGTGATGGGGGGGGAAACGGTGATGGGCGGAGACTTGACAGTACAGTGTACAGCTGATGTGTGGTAGAATTGTGCACCTAAACCTGTATAATTTCATTAACCAGGGTTACCCCAATAAATTCAATCAAAAGGAAAAGTGATAAATAAAAATTTGTTTTTGAAATTTTGGGGTGTGTGTTTGGGTGAGGATCGATCAGTCAGCCTCTTTGTGGGAGCCCTTGTTTGATAGCTTTTGGTCTGAAGATACAAAATGATCCAGTACCAAATTTTTTTCATCCTCTTCTTGTGGCAGTGCCTCTTGCCATGTTTAATAATACATCTGTCATAAGCTGAGCAGTACTTGGAGTTAAAGAGTAAAAGCTATGCCATGATTTCTGTGTTTATTGTAACTAGAGATGGTGTTTTCTGAAACAGTTTGTTGATGAAAGAGGAAAATAAATGTTTTTCAATTTATTATTTCTTATTAGTTTGGATTTTTAAAAACTTTTGCTGAATGTAACTTCCTAGGCAGAATTCATGTCAGAGGGCACATTAAAAAACAAAAAGATATCTAACTTTAGGAAAACAGCAAATATAAACTTAAGTGCATTGCCGTTTGGCAAGAGACTTCTTAAAGTCTACAACATTTGCAAATTTAAGAGAACCCTGACTTAGGCACTGCAGAGAGTTGATGTCTCCAGGAGCCAGCTCTGCTCTGAGGCTTAGTGGACTTGAGCAAGGGCACAGATGAATAAGGATAAATTGGCAAGGAAAAAGAGAGTGAACACAAATGTTGTGTGCTACTGGCTGGAGCTCTAGTGACTGGGAAGTGATTTTGGGAATAGATTTTTGAAGTTCTGTGACTGACTGCCTAGATAGGAAAAGAGGGGTAGCAAAATATTTACCATTTGTAGCCAGTGTTCTGGAAATGTCACTGCTGGTGCCCACCCCACAACATCTACTCTTGCAATTCCTACAAATACTCATTGGCTTGTCCTTAAAGTTTCCAGGAAGGTTTTGGCAAATAAGTGTGGTTTTGTTTTTAGAAGACCAGAGAAAATGAAGTAATGTCTTGTATCATTATAGGTCCTTTCAGGTAGCCTAAATCACGATTTAGTTTCTCTGACGGTATTTCTCTTTCTTTTCCTCCTCTTCATATTATGATGATGTTATTCTAGTGTAATTAGAGAGAGACCAACTCAAAAGAGAAGGCAAGGAATTAAATTTTATGAAGTATTTGAGACATTTCTTCCCACTGCCTCTGTCTTCTTATGTATTGTTACTAAAAATTCATTTTTTGAGAACTCAAATCCTGGTTGATTAGATTTCTAAAGTCCAGCATAGAAAGAGAGACTATCTTACTGTAAAAGAAACAAACTAGTAATAACAACCACCACCACCTGTACCACCCTTGCTTTAGAATGGTTTTCTTGTCATCTTCCATCAGAAGAAAGTGCTTGTTTTAGAAGAGGATTTAACTTTTGCCTTTTCTGCCTTATATATCTCTATGGGGGTTCTTATTATTATGGTAAAATATCTAAGGTATAGATTACAGATTGAAAAGAATATTATATTTAAAAACCTAAGCATATATTACAGATGTGTAAAGTCATGGTCTTTATCCACCCCATCTCATTACCATCAAATTCTCTTCTAGTCATGTGTGTACATATCTGGCCTGCTGGCAGTGAAGCGTTGCAGCATGGAAAATCCATATTGAAAGCAAAAATGCATGACAAGGACACGAATTTTAAAACAGCCTAATGCCTCTTGTTTGTTATAATATGCAAGTACCAAATCCCCAGCATCATGTATCAGAAACACCACGTTGAGTTTCTTCTCGCTTTTTCCTATGTGCATGTATGCATACATTCTTAAAAGAGGCATGCATGCATACAAATGCACAAATACAGGCCCTTCTGTTGGCCTATTTTATAACTGTTCGCTTTCTTTTCTAATGTGGCAAAAAATCACTCCTGCTTTTCCTCCCTTTTTGTTACAGTAATGGGTGTATAGGAATACAGGGTTCAGACTCAAGTTGGCCCAAGAAGTAGAAAACAGAAATCACATACTTTAAATTTGCAAACACCTGGAATCCATTGGGTTCCTGGGGTTGTAGTTTGGAAGCAGAAAAAGCAAAGAACTCTGTGAGGTTGAACAGTTGGGGCTCTAAGTGAGAATGGCCTGAAGTGGCACCAGAGAGTCTGTGTGGAGAATTTGAAGTCAGGTAAAAGTCACCAGGAGACAGGCCTGCTTCTCTGTTGGGAGGCCAGCGCGGAAGGTGATGCCGAGGGACAGCCACTGGCTTAGGTAGGAGCTGAAAAAGGCAAACCCTAGTGTGTTTCCCAGTAGCGTTTTAGGTCATACCCAAAATATGCGCAGTACTCGGTACTCCAGAGCGAGGTTTGAAGCTGTTCTCCTGTAGTGTGTGCCGTTGTAGGGAGTGGGTGGTGTCCAGCCAGAGGAGCTTGATTCAGTAAACCATTAAGGAAAATACCACAAAGAGTCCAATGTTGAGCATATTAAAAAAATGATCCACTGGTTGTCTTAAAAAGACGTGAGGGGAATAGCATGGAAGGCAGTTATGGAGAGGAAACTTGTTGCAAAGTGGTAGTATTTATGTTCCTATCACGGAACGGGATATTTGTGTACGACCAGTGTATAGAAATATATGTGTTGCAAAAGCCACATTTGGATTTTTGAAAAGGTCGATTTTTAAAAAGTAATTCAGATGATATTGTGCACTATCAAATACTGGTGTCTTTATTAAGAAAAGAGAAAAGTTATTGTCTTGAGAAATATTGCTGGTTTTTTTTAGAGCAATTTGCATTTATTTTTAGTTTTTCTTGTTGATGTTTGAGGGGTCTGATAGCATTAATGGGCTTTACCCCACATGGAGCTTTGAGCTTATTGTAGCACTGCACACTGATCCCAGGTCAATGTGATGCGTGAAATCAATTTATTTGAATCTCTTTGCCTCTATAGGAATTTGGCAGCATGCCAGTTGTTTTCATTTAATGTTCTTTGTGTTGAACACAGACAAGCAGGCATGCTTTTGTATTCCTCTCTCTTTTGGTCTATATCTCTTTCAGCCAACATTTTACTCTATGGATTTTGAGATGAAGGAAGAATATATTATTTATATGACTCTAATCATTACTTAATATCTATATTTGTGTGCATATATATTTCACATGAGAAACATATATTTATATATACATCTCTTAAGAGATTAAGAAAGTGGTACACTTACGTATAAATACAAATAAATATAAATATACACAAATGTACCGCTTTCTTAATCATTTAAGGGATTGTTTTTATATTTCTGAGTTTTAATGGTGACTTTTTTTGTACGCAAGAATATTTTAGAATTTTGTTTAAATAAGATTTTTAAAGAAACATCATAGGGCATTCACTTACCATAATGCCCACTATCAAAACTGAAAATAACAATATTAATGACACAACACAACACATGTTTAATTTGTGAACTGGACTATCGCCATAATTTATTTCTTGGGGAGCTCTTTTGATCTTGAAGAATCACACTTTAATCAAGCACACACCAAAGGAAAAAAATATTATTTCAGTATTATTTTCTTTGAATACTGCATCTTGATTAAGATACCAGTAGTTTACATAGATTTGTTATGTATGAATTTTTATGAAATTCCTGCCGTTAGGGTAATTTTTTTTTTGCTTTATAAAATTTGGAAGGTAATGATAGGGAACAGTGTTGTGGTTTTTATTACAAATAGAGTCAGACTTTCTGTGGATGTTTTTGTGGGGAGGATTTGTTTCTGGGTCAGATTTAGAAAGAGGTGGGGAAGGAAATGAGGGAGAGAGAGAGGAGCACACTCTGTTGATGCTCCAGGCAGTTCTTGTGGAAGTTGATATGCAGAACCATAGAGCCGCAGCGCTGGGGGTCAGGCTCCTACCCAGCAGCTCTGCTTCCTTGTTTAATTACCTGAAGAGCAAAACAGTCAGCCTGCAAGTGTGTGAAAGCCCGGTATCTCTTGCAGCCGCCTGGTGCTCTGACATCCTGCGAGGCCAGCCCTGTCTGTCCCCAGCGTCAGGCTGGCTCCCGCCTGGGTTCCTTTCTTTCTGCAGGCATTGTGTGGAGGAGGGCTTGGTCAGGAATCGGAGGTTTCTGCCAGTGCCGTGCCTCTGCTCTCTCCTGCAGGACCTCTCTGACAGATACTCTTGACTTTTTTTTATCAAATGGATCTAAAACTTTGGCTCTTTCATTTTACACACTGGCCTTGCTATGAAACAATATCTTTATCAACAGCAGCAGACATCAACCAGTGGAGAACTGGCCTTGGTTAACAGGCTCTTATTTCCCTAATTCTTGTTATGTAATGTCCTACATGTGCTGCTTTTTTGGGCCAGACTCTAGTAGCTCTAGTAGTTCACGATGGAACCAGTAATTTTGAGGTGGTTTCTATGAGGCCATTTTGGAAAATTAATAGGTTCATAAAAATAGAATAGTTCATCTTTAAACAAAGATGATAGACCTTTTAAGGTTGAGTTTTTTTCTTTTCTCATATTTGAATACAAACTTGGACATTTCCTAGGGAAAGCTGGGGGTTAGTGAGAAATTATGTTTGGAAAGCAATGTGTGGCCAGTTTGAGAGTGGTATCGGGTAAATGTTCTGAGGAATGCTTGGAGGTGGAGCTATTTGGGAGATTCCAAGAGTATAACCAAGATGCTCTTTTACCAAGAGGAAATCCACCGGGTTCTTCATCCACAGTGTGGGCTGATTAAAAGTCTGAGCCGTGGGTGAGGGA